ATTCAAGTAAACTTGAATGCCATCAAACAACAGCAGGAAGTTACACATATTAATTCGGAAGGTGTTGTTGTCACCCCTCCTTCATGTCGCGAAAAACTAACTGCATTATTGCAATTTCCTTATCGGATGCGAAAGCTGTAACTATCGCCCTTCCCCCAGGGTTGCTGATTATGTCCCCCACCCTATTCCCCCTCCCCTCCTGCTTACACATAAACACCATTGTCTTTCTCAGTGAACTTGAAGATCAAGTTGGTTTATACTGACTTCGGGGTGCGTTTTGGGGGGTTGTTACAAAAACTAACTTCAGATGTTTGTCATTGGTCGAGTGTTTTGGTGCAGTACCATGCATGATTTCTACCCAACTGAAGATGCCAGAACACTCAACCAATCGCCTTATAATTGAATCATTGTCAACTTTCTTATGCAAACATACATTCTGTGCCAAGTTGTCCTTTCAGTTAAAATCAATCAAGTGACTGTTTCCAACCGTTACAATGTGGTGCTTAATGTAGCGCGTTATACCTAAGGTTTCAAAGCGCTTTACAATTATTATCCCTGTTTATCAAATGAGACCACTTTTCTGCAGCAGCTCGAGATCAGCGCAATCTGGTCTCTACCTTCACAGGTACCCATTTATACTCCTGGGTGGAGAGAGGCACTCGTAGTAAAGTGTCTTGCCCAAGAACACCATGTTCCCCGTGTCTTGCTGGGGAACACCATGTTCCCCGTCAACACCATGTTCCCCGTCAGGATTCGAGCCCATGTTCCACGGCACATGAGTCGAACACTGTAACCATTGGACCACAGCACCCCAAGTTAAGAGCTCCCAACCTGCCTACATAAAGCAGGATTGACTGGCTGTGACTGTTTATGTAACTTGATACAGCTATGCTTTGACTGTGGATGACTGATAGGCCAGCTGTGCCTACCACTTTCCTATTTTGTCTGTTGACTGAATATGGCTAGTCACAGTGCTTGCTTGAAATATGATCTGACTGTTGGTGACTAGCCTGTGTAAAAGGCATGGCAGGGGAAGAGGATTGATTTTTTGACTGTCTGTGACTGTTCGGATAGCAGGAGGGTTATGACCGCTTGACACAGTAAGATGTTTTATAGTTTGAACTCTTTGGCATAATTACTTGAAACAGTTCTTTCAATTTCTTGCTGCGCAATGCTGTGAACATACACCTATAGATTCGTGTTTGCTAACCATATACACTGTTTAAACTTCACTTGCACACAAGTCGTGTGAACGTCAGTACTTCAAAAATTTGTTGAGAAGAAAAAGGTGGGGGAGCGCGTCAGGCAAATTTTCCAACCGTTGATAGACACACAGACTCGTGATAATGCATTGCAGCTACCAATAACTTAAACTGAACTTAATGGTCATGTTCTCTGGCAATTGAGTTTTCCGTCCCCAGTAATGTGATTTGGATGTCTTTTCCAATAACCTCATGACAGCATACCAGAGTAACTTCAGTTCAGTGAACTCGTACACATACTGAACAAGGAAGAGAAAATCTTCGTGAAAGGTTTCAGTTTTTTTTTATTGTTATTAAATTGGACGGCGAGTTGTCCATGTGGAGACTGTCGGTGGTTGACCCGTTCGTTTTGCGGGGGGATTTTGACACGAGTTAAGAATTCCGAGACGGCGATAAAGTGATTTCCCATTGTAACTGGATAATGGCCTTTTATGCCATTCTACAAAGTGCGACGCAGAGTACACATGCCGAAGCTTAGGGCCTGAACAAACTTGGCGTTAGACTTGCGCAGTCTGCCTTTCTCTGCAGATTTACACTAATCCTGTCAAAGAAGGACTTCACTGTTATGTTTCCAATAGGGATTATCTCACACGCATGCAACAGCTGGAACTTTAAAGCTTGAATTTGTATCAGCCTCTGCATGTAAATGCAGACCAAATAAATACTTCATTTCTTGAGTTTTATGTCATTAAATTGTCTTTTGCATGTATACACACATGTTATGCTTCTTTTAATCACCCTGAGCTCTCAAAAAGTGTACATGTATAAGAAACCTTGTCACAATGCATGTATTTCGACAAAATTCATTATACTTGGGGAAACATAGGTTTACTGCTACTCATGGTTTCAACCAGCTTATTTTGCAAATTACACTGCCATGAGGGCCAGTGTGTAAATTCTAACAGCCTAATAATAATGTGAGGTGTATAAAATACTCACTACACTAAAATTGCCCAGTTTGTTACCCTTAAATTACTTGCAAAATTGAGTTTTCTGCAAAAGCTGGGATTCCGAGAAGGATTCTGAGAAGTTCCTGGCACTAATTATGCGTGGTTTAGACCAATCACAGCTAGGAGTTTTAACCAATCATGTTAGACCATTGGCCAAGATTGGACCAATCAGGACACAGCTGTGGAACACAGTGCTAGTGTAGGAGGGGAAATGCACATTGAGTTTCATCTATTAGTGAGTCCGAGTATAAGTAAGATTTGAGGCAAGATACTAATGAGTGACAGCTTTGCAGAAACACCATGTGGGAATATTTTCTCAAACTAAGAGAATGGTTCTGAAAAGAACCAGAGGTATAAACTTGACGTTCTAGTCAGTATGCTCTGACCATCTTCAAGGAGAACGTCTAGACTCTAAGAAAGTAAACACAAAAGTGCTTAATGTGAAGTGGGCACTCTCCTGAAGACATTCAGAGCATACTGACGGGAACGTCGAGTTGATACCTCTAGTTCTTTTCAGAACCATTCTCTTTGTTGAGAAATTATTTCCACATGGTGTTTCTGCAAACCTTTCACTCACAAAGTGTTCATGTTGTTTTGAAATCATAAAAATTAAGCTTACCTTATTTCAAGTGATACTTTCTGATGGAATGTCTTTGGCAATTTTTTTAGCTTAAAAAAGGAAAGTTCAAATTCAACACACTTTCTTTACCTTAAATTGGTATGTGAAACCATTTGTGTTAATAAGAACTATTTCAAATGAGACTTTTCATGGTGGACATGAACAAAGTATGGAAGGTTTGCGGTAACACCATGTGAATAATATCTCTTATGAGTTGTGTAGTTCTGAGAAGAACCAGTTGTTTTAACTAACATTTCAAACAGTATGCTCTGTTCATCATCAGGAGACACTGAATTATTTTGACAAGCTTACAGATTACTGTGCTTTATCGTTTACATGTAAATAGTATGTTCAGTTTTTCTTATCTCCACCACTTTTTCTTAACTGTGAAAATAATCACTTTTTAGCCACGGGATAGCAGCTCAACAAATCATCATGTCTCTCCATTAGTCCACTAGTTATGTAGTCGGTTACAAACGTTGACATTGTCTATTGCTCCTACATATTTGGACCGATTTCAACCAAACTTTGTCAAAAGTTTCAGTAGCCCAGCCCCAACATGTCACATGACCAAACTGGGGTCAAAGGTCATCATGGGGTCACTGGGGTCAAAAATCTGATTTGGAAAAAAATGTTGCAACCTGACACCACTTCAACGGTTGCGTACAAAGTCTATGGAGAGTCAAGAAAATTTTCTAATTATTTCCTAACAAAATTGGAAATGTTTCTCAGTCCCAGACTCATGTCTATCATCATTTTTGCAAAGACTGACCTTCAAATGAAGAAAAAAGTGGCATCAGGTTGCAACATATTTTCCTCTGATTTTTTTTTTTTACTCCAAACACTACTCCTTCCAGAAATTACATAGCACAATCACGTGACTCTTGCATGAACACGATATTGTTGGCCCGCAGCAGTTTTTCCTGCAAGAGTCAATATGTGTTTATGAAAAATCCATCAGTAAAATATCTTATTCTTTTTTTAGGGTACAACCAAAAATCAATAAGAAAATTCCTTTGAAATTTATGTCAACTTTTCTTTTGCGACCAAAAAACACCTAAACGTTTTTAGCAGAATAATAATAAAATAAATCCACACTGAAACAATTTGAGAATAACAGTGCGCTGTTTGCATACCTCTGGGGGTTTCTTTTCAAGTTGTCCAATTTCTGTCTGGAGGCAAGGTTTTTGACTTCTTCCAGAGGCTTTTGTTTACACACGTAGCGGAGCACAAAGAACCAGAAACAGAAAGGACTTTACACATTTGCTGGTGCCATGCGAATTTGACACATCAAGGTAGTTTTCATGGGGCAAAGTTTCCAATCTTTTAATTAAAGTTGCGTTCCCCATGGTCTTCAACAAATTCTCTTAAATGGTGCAACCAAGTAACTGGGCTAAAAATCTGTCTGTCAAGCTCATGAGTAATTGTTATACATTCAAATTAGAGTGTTCTGAGAGCCATGGAATTGGGGATTGAAGACTTATGGCACTGCACCTCTGGCCTGGACTTGGGGCTTCCAATTTTGAGCATTTCGGATGCAATTTGGTCCAAAAGTGACGCTATTTAGCCATGTTGTGGAGGTATCGTTTTCAAAACGGCTACTTTTCCAGTTTGGGAAATATTCGTTTTTAGGGGTGATCTTCTTTGGGTGAAAATTTCTCCAAAAATTAATTGGTCAACCCAACAAAAAATTGAAATGAAAATGAAAGATGACATGACCCAGGATTTGCTTTTGGGCTCAATTTTTTTTTCAAAAAATGTTGCCCAAAATTTTTGGCCGCAGAAAAAAAATTTATCCCAGACTTTCTTTATTATCCTCATGAGACCGTGACATTTTTCTAATATTCTATTTAGTAACATTCTATTTGGGTATTTGGTGGATGATCAGATATTCGGTACAGCCTTAATAATTTGCAAATGTTATACTAGTAGAATGTGTTGAAAAAAATAAGTGGGAATGCTAAAGTTCTTAGATTTGTTCTCAAACTGCCTTAGAATGCAGGAGAAAAGAATCAAAGATTTCCAATTGTTTCCGGACCCCTAGCAGGGTGTGCCTTCAGCACACCTTCACTCAACCCCCCTTTCATATCACCTCCCCCCCCCCCCCCCCGATTTCCTGACAGCTAGATCCGCCCCTGAAATTCTCCTCTTGTTGCCCCCTCTTTACAGTCAGATGACTATGACGATTACAGCGACAGTCAAGACGAGTCACTGTCCTCAGCCTGGCACTCCCCCTTCATTGTCAAGCTGGCCCTGATCTTCGTCTACACCCAACTCGTGGTCTACAACATCGAGGTGTCCACCAAGCCCCTGTCCTACACCGCCAGCGGGCCCATCATGGAGGTCGCCACCAAAGGTTTGGTTCAGAAAGTGGGCGTGTCTCGCCTGGTGCAGCTGTGCGTGCTGATTGGTACGTACATCTACCGGCTGTACCACCCCGACGAGTTTGTATTTGATTACTAAAGATGCCTACCTCTTTAGCTGGTGCCCATTGTCTTATGGAAGGGGACCAGTGATGCCTACGTTTCTTTAACTCTCATTTGTCAATTTAATAGCTGGTAACCACCTTTGAGCTCTCATTGGATAACTTAGTAGTTGGTGCCCAAGCACTGTCCCACTTAAGGAAACCGGCGATTCTTTAACTCTCATCTGTCAATTTACTAGCTGGTACCCACCACCTTCGAACTCTCAGTGGATAACTTAGTAGTTGGTGCCCACTGTCCTATCCAAGTGAACCAGTGACTGCCCTTTTTGTTTGATCTCATTTGACAACTGTACCCATCACCTTAAAGGAAACCAGTAATTGCTAAATTTCATTGAGATTTCATTGGAAAATGCAATAGTTGTACCTACGGCCATATCCAAGGGCACCAGTGATGGCTAGATTTCTTTGAGTTCTCATCTGATAACTCAGAAGCTGGTACCCCACTGCCTTACCCAAAGGAACCAGTGACACATAAATTGCATTGAGCTCTCATTGGTCTATACTTAGTGGGTGGTACCCACCACCAGAAACCAGTTATGGCAACATTTCTTTGAGATTTCACTGAAAAACTCAATATTTGGTCCCTAGGGCCATATCCAAGGGCACCAGTGGCCTAGATTTCTTTGATTTCTCATTTGATAATCTAGTAACTGGTACCCACCACCTTTGGTGCTGGTGATTTATAGATTTCTTTATGTGCTTTCAGTGCATAACATATTTTAGACCAAAGTTCAATCTCTCCCCACGTGTGAAGAATGCATTCATACTGCATGTATATGTACATAGATTATTATGGCAAAAAAATACCCATAATGCTTTGTGTTTCCTGCACAATATTTTCTGAATGAGATCAGCAGTCACCGGCCCCTATGATTTTAGGCATAGTATGAACAGGACAGTGGACTATATGAATTGATTCCATAAAAAAGTGTGTAGACTACAGCACTGGAATGGTATTCTATAGGTGTTTGGTTCGAATTTATATTCAATTAAGTTTAGGAGTTTGAACTCACATATGTGATGCGATCAAGCTACATGAGTCACTTGTCGACCCTGGTCAACAACATTTTTATTACAATTTCAAAAGGGCACAATCTGAGCATTACTGCTATGAAAACTGCATGCTGATACCATCTTTAGTTAACAAATTATGGAAGTCGGAACACCAAGAGATGTGATGAAGTGATGTGATGAAGTGGCCCTATTTTGGCCTGTATCTCCAGATAAAAATTCCCGACAAACGACTCATTTAGCTTGATCGCATCACATATAAGATCATAGAACCGTGACATGTATTCCTCAGGTCTTTAACTGAAATGAAGTTTCAGCTGATTTTTTTGTATATTAGACTCACCAATACGGATGACCAATCTGCTTTTGGGTAAATTTAATGAGTTTGATGTTTCTCTCTTATCATTTTTTTGGCTCAATTACAGGTATAATTGATGGATTCATTTTACACTACTTGTTTACTTGTTAAACAAGTCTCCCAAAGAGCCTTGGTTTAAATTCCTCCAATAGAACGATCTGCCCCTATGATGTATTGACCAATCACAGCCAAGGATGTGCAAAGTCTGACAAAAGTCTGACATATGTACACTTCTGAATAACACTTGTGGCTAGACTATAAATTGGGGCCCCAGTGTGAATGGGTGAAACTTATGGCCAGATGTACAGTACACATACACCAGTTCAGCTCTGCTTTTCCAAGTCATAAGGAACTAGAAAGCACTCAGAGAGCGCAAACCTTTGCCAAGGCTAAACAATTCCCCACCTATATTGTGCCAATGTGGGACCCTTCGGTGGGGCGTGAGAAATACCCGGATGGGAAATTACCAAGGCGCGATGACCGCGAGTGTTGGAGGGCGCCGTCTAGTTAAAAACACTTCATAACGTGATAACAACTCATAAGAATGATTTAATCTGTCATATTTAGAATATGAGGTAATGTTAATTGGTTTAACCAGTTCTTTTCAGAACCACACTTCTTCCAAGAAGAGACTACTTTCCACGTGGTGTTACTCGCAATCTTTCTACTTTATCTCATCCACCATACAAAGCTTCAGTCATTATGCATGGATGAAATAAGTCTTTGAAGGACAAAACCCACTATTGAGTTTACATCACCCAATGAAAATGCTATCTTAGTTTGGCTGTGGCTGGCTGCTATATCAGATTCGAACCAGCCGGCTGACCCCGGCAGGCTCAGTGGTCGACTGGTAAGACGTCTGCATAAGCAGGAAGTCGAGGGTTCGAGTCCCACCCGAGTGATTTTTGTCTCACAATCACTCAGAACAACACTGAGTATGAGTGCATGTAAAATACATCGGTGAAGCGCAAAATTTATACCTAGATTTATAGCAATTTGTGATAAATACCACGTGACTATAACATTACTGCACATATTTTGCCTCCATTACAAACTTTTCGTAAAAATCTTTCCCAATTGTTACCAACAATTTCGTTAAGTATTAATTGATTTTGTTTGCTTCTTTTTTTACAATTAAATGGGGCAGTTATATTTTATGGGAAATTTAGGGGGCTTATTTTGGTCAATTCTCCAGGAACAGACCAACTGACCACCAAGCGACCTGCACAGGGTGAGTAAAAAAAAAAAACCCCAAATGTTGGGACTACTGTTTTAGTGACGTTCTGCATGTAGCACTTTCAAAATGTAGGATATAAAAGCCAAATTTATCAGCTTTCTTTTAGTACAAAAATCATTTAAATCACTCGTGTACTTTTCAAGTTTACAAAAAAGGTGTGCGTTCTTTCAGCAAAACGAAAACAATTCACACACATCCCTATGTGATTTCTTTTCGTTTTGTTGAAAGAACACTGATCTTTTTTGTGATCCGTGGACAGAACCTTAAAACGGTGGTTGTGTTTAAAATTATGTAACTTGAAAAGTACATGAGTGATTTGAATGATTTTTGTACTAAAAGAAAGCTTATGAATTGGGCTTTCATATCCTAGATTTTGAAAATGCCACATGCAGAACTTCCCTAAAACAATGGCCCCAACATTTGGGTTTCTTTTTTTTTTACTCACCCTGTAGAAGCTCCTGCCAGAGCTTAAAAATGGGATCTTGTCCTCGTGTCATTTGCCTTCCAGTTTTCCTGTTTACCTATACATGTACTTGAAGTTAATGAATTAATCAAGCTGATCTCAAAATCTGCAAATCCAATTGTTTTGACACGGTTATTTTTTAAATAGTTTTATTTCAGTGATTGAATATTGATCGTCTGTATCCAAAGTTTATGGCCTAAAGCTGTACATATTGTTCTTGTTGTGTGAGCCATTATATAATCTATTTTTCCAAATGAAAGCGAAAATTGTATGAGTTACTCAAATTGAAAATGAGTTGGACAACAAATGTATAAATTGCTTATATGAAAAATCAATTCATACAAAAATGAACAGTTTAAATAATATGTTAAGTAAGGAATCATTTAAATCAACACTGATCATTTCTTTGTTAATTTAATGGTTTGTTGTTATTTTAAGACGTTTATTAAATTATATTTTGAATTGATTTCTGCGAATTCATATTTTTTTATTGCTTGTGATCCTGTCTTTTTAAAGCTTTTTCAGAATCATCTTCGGACCTACCCTCAGTGAACGATTTGTTGAATGACAAAGAAAGGAAGTGTGGAGTGTCATGGCCGAGCTGTTAAGAGCAGCGGACTCATGCTCTGGTGTTTCAGAGGCATGGGTTCAAGCCCAGGTCTGGACACTTGTGCCCTTAAGCAAGGCACTTAACCATTATTGCTTCGTCCTTCGGATAGGACGTAAAGCCGTAGGTCCCGTGTGTTGTGTAATCCAATGCACGTAAAAGAACCCAGTGACACTTATCGCTAAGAGAAGGGGTTTGCCCGGTGTTTCTGGCCTCCTGTTAAAACTCCCATGTGCGCGGAGTATTTAGGAGAAGAACCAACCAAGAAACAAGAACCAAGATCAAAGCAACATTCCATTTGACAAAAACCACATTGGAACATTTCTAAATCAGATTCTCCCTACCTTTTTTTAAAACTAGTGAGAATTTGATATGATACAACAAAGATAAACTTGAAAATCTTAAAAAGGTCAGAACGCAAATGTAGGATTTGTAATCTTTTGAATATTGACATCCGCTGAGAATCCTTTTGGCTAATCACCACGGGTGGATAATCAGCAGATCCTTCACCCAGTAACCCGATTAATCCATAGGGCTTTGATTATCTCAGATAAGTAATTGGATTTGCCCAGATTACATCCATTCTAAGTTGTGAGAATTTCCACCAATTCTTTTGAAAGTAACAATAGTAAGGCGAGATCACAGTCCCACTCACAATTACATCTTGCATAATTTCTTGTACGTACACCTCAAATTGGCATCAAAATACTCCCCAACCACACACACAGAATGGTATACAACTTAGGACTCTCATTGTTTTCTTCTTTTTGTTCCTATTGTTTGGACAACATTTTGCACGACATGTCCCATAAAGTTTGTGCACAATACCTTCTGAGGACTTTGGCTCAGGTCCTTGGGGTTATTTTATCGCAGGCATAACCCATTGTTCCAGGTCCTCGCAAGTGAAGGCACACATCTTTGTATTGTGTCAGTCGAGGATATCCCATTGTTTTTCTTCTCTTTATAATAACTGCACCTCTCGTTGGTTTCGTAAAGCTTAACAGGCATAACCCATTTGTTCCAAGTCCTCGGATGAGAAGGCACACATCTTTGTATGGTGTCAATCGAGGACATCCCATTGTTTCTCTTTTCTTTATACTAACTGCACCTCTCATTTGTACAAACATGTGCCTCTCTATCCTCGTCTGTGAAATATGTCGTCCTCACAAACAACCCCATCATTCTAAATTGATAAATGGCATAGCATTTTAACCTTAAATGATATTAACCCAATTAAAATACTATTATTCTGTTCCTTGCTTTCCATTATTTCTTTGTACTTGTAGCTACTATGTTTGTACACATTTTCCACTCGAGGACTGTGTGTCCTCGATTTACATCATGAACATGTTCATCCCTCTTATTGACGTTGCTCACGATCACCCCCTTCACCTTAACATTAAACGTGAAAAATTGTTTGGCGTTACAATGTAACTCAATAAAGAGACCTGTACTCGTTGGTTTTTTTTTTACATTGTACTCATTTTCCAATCGAGGATTGTCCTTACTTGGGTAAGTACATGTCCTCATTCAGAAAAGGAATTCCCTCATGTGTCGTCAATTAATATATGTACAATGTTACAGTTTCCGCATTATCCGTACGAATATCTCGTTAAAGGAATTTGATTCCGTTACTTGCCCTTGTTTTTCTTTGTTCTTTCACCATCTCTCATTGGTTTTTAACACGTTTCCCAATCGAGGACTGTCCTCGCTTGGGTAAATGCATCTGTCCTCGGAAAAGAGGTTTCGTAATTGTCCTAGATTTACACCATAACCATGTACATCTCATATCCTCGATAGATTGACACCATTGCTTGCGCTCCCCCCCCCCCCCCATCATACACTCCCATTGTAAAAACCCATGTTTTATCATGTTTTCCTTGAGCAATCCTCTTCATTTTCCGATTTTCCAGAGAGGGGGAACCTTGTGTGGACGTGGGCAAGTACTCAAAACGTCTCTGCTACTATACATGATTATGTGGACCTCTTTTGTTCATAGTTCCACAAAGAGTATGTTAGGTTAAAGCACACAAATCGAGGACATCCTACTGGCTTTCTTTATTTTACGTGTACTAACAGCACCTCTAGTTGGTTTTGCACACCTTCTCCCAGTCAATGACTGTCCTCAATTGACCTATCGCCGTTTGCGAGTTAGCCACGCCCCTTAGACAACCCTATGGAATTTTGTACCTTGAGTTTTGTTTGTCTCAGATTTTGCGCGTAGTCCGCGTCCGTTTGTATATCATGTAATTGGACAATATTTCACAAGCTGCGTTGACGCGATTCTACCGCTATAGGTCAATTGGGTACGCGTCCTCGATCACAAAAGGTTTCCTACGCGTGTCCTCGTTTCACACCACGAACTTGTGCACCATTCTAGTACTC